TGGAATCTAACAATCAATTATATATTTTTTTTCTATAGCATTTTACTTATTTTGTAACTTATTTGCAAATATATATATATTTCCCATATTCTAATGTATTCTTCATCACACTATAATATGCATGGTTTTACTTTTTTATGTCACAGGGACAAAGTTCATATTTGTCAACGAAGATATATGTTATTGGAATTTTAAATGTAGATAAATATGTTATTCGGAAAGTTATGCTATTGATATTTTACTGATTATTTAAAAATAAAATTCAATCTACATCGATTTTTCACTGTTATGATAATAATATTTCGATACTATATAAAACAATGAATTGAGATGAACAAAAAAGCAAGAATACAATAGCTAGAAGATTACTTCTAATGATTATTGTATTGGACAAAATTACTGAACAAACAAGTCCAATACATACACTCAAAGAAGACATAGGGTGGTTATGGTATACGTTGGTTGAAAGAAAGCATTAATATTAATGATAAATTTGAACGTCAATTTGATACTAATGGAACAATAGGATCTTTTGGAAATGACATTATTAATAATCCTTATCAAAGATACGGACCAATATCAATTAGTACATTTCCAAATTTTATGATTGTTATTTATAATGAAGAAAATAGTTTATTCAATTGGTTTCTAATCAGCAAAGATTCAAAATAAAACTGATCATTATATTGAATTTCAATTCCCTATAAAACCAAATATTGAATTTATCTATCCATCAACTACATCGTTCAATCTCTCTTACCTCTGTCTTGTAACTCGTACGTTCTATCTTGTCGAATTCATTTATGCTCTTGATGCTAAACTAAACTTATCCGTACGTACTTGGTATATGAAAGCTATTTTCATTTCCATTTGTGTAGTATTTTTGTTTTTTTAATATCGTTCTTTTTATTTGTATATATGCTTCTTTTTTTCCTGTACTATGAAATCTAACAATTAATTATACATATATATTGTTTCCTTTCTGTTGCACTTTACTTTTTTTTGTTACTTACTCGTATATTTTTTTTCATATATTCTAATGTATTCTTCGTCACAGTATAATATGTATGCTTTTTACTTTTGTACGTCACATGGACAAATTTTCATCTTTGACAACGAAGGTGAGGACATGCCACACACTTCATTACCTAATAAAGCAACATTATACATATACATGTCATCGTTCAAGTGCATAGATCGTCTTTATTAATGCTCCATTAGATGTTCGAACAGAGGGCGCAGATATCAAAGTCTTCTTCACCCTAACACTCACCCCCACACCCCTCTCAGCTTTGTTTTTACTCAATTTTGCCTTGAGGGGAGTACAGATCAAATTTGGATGGTAAATTGTTTTTTGACGGAATATAATTAGGCTATTCGATGCAGTTTTTTGTGCTGATTCCGCATATCGTACTCAACTGATCAAAAAATAAAGCGTTTGCCGGAAAAGCTTCGAAGTATGCCCCGGATTTTTAACCATTTGGCCATCCAAGTGAGAAAATTGAATTTTCTCAACAATGCTGAGGAGCTAAATTAAGAGCAAATGTAACTTTTTTTCTTGTCGATCTGATGGTTCGAATACTTTATAAAAAATAGCTTAACTGTTATAGCAAAAACACGACATAGGTTTACAAAGTGAGGTCGTCCATCAAATCCATAGAGGGTCTTGTTAAACCAACCAAATATCATGAGATTAATCAAATTTCATCAAACCAACCTAAATACCATAGTTTTATATGGTTGATTTAGGTAACATACTTTTATTGGAACCGTCTAATCTAAGATATGCTAATTTTAAAATTTATGGTGAAAAAACTATTTTTTTTGCTTTCTCTGAGATTATTATTGAGATTTATGTTTTATGTCACCTTTCAGTTAAATATTTCTTTCTATGTATATAAATTTAATCAAAAAAGACCTGTAATGTTTCATTTGTCAACAATGCGTTGATCTCATAGGAAGATAATTCTTAGAATAACAACATAAAAATATCTCTGCTTTATATTTATCAGCCGTTGAACAGCTGTCTCTTACAACAGTTGACGAGTTGTATACATTTATTGACTCATCGAAGAAACTGATCCTTTTCTTTCTATAACAAGAAAATCTTTAGAACGAGTAGATTAAAAATAAAACAATATAAATTGGTTAATCAATTTTCTCTTGGTCAGATAGAGTAGTCTTATATTAGCAGAACCTTCAAATTACAAACAAAAATCAAGCCAATTAAGGAGATAGTATTCGCAACTTGGAACATAGAGAATAACCTTGATCTAATTTTTATTGCATTTCCAAATTTCGAACACTTTTAATAATAAATTAACATAGTTTTAATTAGAAACAAAACATTAACAACAGATATACGTAATAAAAGAAATCTTCATCTTGAATACATATTTTTTGCTAATATAAGTTTAGTATCATACCATATAATTATTATCTAAGCCATCTGGTTTGATAATTGTGTGGGTGTGGGTGTTAATGGTTCTTGGCACACGCACACCCACACCCACCCACACACCCACCCACACACCCACGCCCACACCCCCAAGATAGTTTACGAGTAACATCCATACCCTACCCCTCGGCGCTATATGCATACACGTTTTTAAAGCCTCAGTTCTAATAGTAACTCGCATCCGATCGAGGGATACTTTTCAACAGTAGTATCTCGTAAATTTTATACATATAAAACTCTCAACAGTTTGCTTTATCACTCTCTTTACATTTTTGAAATTTACATATTATTTATTAAGAATGGGAACAAAATATTTAGTAATATGTTGTCATATGAAACTTTTAGATTACTCTTCAGTCAATTTATATTCATTCATGATTTCGGAAATTGTTTTCTTTGCTTCTTTCTCATTCAGATCTTTAATCGATTTTTCGTAATCCAAACGATTTGAAATGTACTGAGCACCCATCACTGCAGAAAGAGCATAATTTGGATTGGGATAACGTATTAAATTGAGTATCTCTTGAAATACAATCCGCATTGTTGTTTGATGAGTCCATTTGCTTTGTAAAATATCATGACAGATGCGACCATCCTCATTTATATTGCAATGATAAATAGGTGTTATGAAGCGTATATTAGGTGGCTGAAAAGGAAAGTCAGATCGAAACTCCACTGACAGCAACCAATGATAGCCAGCATATGGCGTACCATCAGGTCCCTTCATAATAACTTTCCAGAAGAGTGAATTTTCTTGCGTTAAAAACACAGTAAAATTATCTAAAGATGACTTTTTCAAATCATCAAGTTCCTTTAGTATCCGACGATTTGACATGGCCGACACTTGACCTATATTTATTTTTGCGTTTCTAACGTTAATGGCAGATTGATAAAGGTTTTCTGTTGAACGAATTTCCGCTTTTTCAACTTTTACATGTGACTTCTCATCACGTAAGCAAACCATAAGTGATGCTTCGCGTTCAAATAACTTTGCCATCTCCATTTTATCATAAGGCACATTTATATAGTAGAATCCTTTTGTAGCCTCACAGAGTTGAACTAGGTTTGATGATTCATGTTTCATAAATGCAATGGTATCGAAAACAATCTTTTCATTTTTTAATTTCGATTTAATTGTTCCAACTGATGCTTTTACGCTGCTATTGTCTTCACCATCTGAAAAACAAACAATGAGAGAACGACATTCAGTACTCAATTGCTTTTCGTTATCCTTGCGAAAGCTAGTAATTGATTGAATAGCCATTTCGATAGCATCATACATAGGAGTCGTATTGCCACATGTTGGTAGATTGCTTGATGCCTTCTCAAGCTGGCTCAGATCTTTCGAGATTGGACATTTTTGATTAATTGGAATGCCAGCAGCACCGAAATATATAAGTCCAATAGCTTGTGGAAATCGATAGCCAACAATTTTATCACACCATATGCCAAGTGCAATAGTACTAAGATCAAGTAAGCTTTGCTGGTTGTCTCGTTGTTTTCCTACCATTGACTTCATTGAACTACTAACATCGAAGAGCAAGACAGTGATCTGTTTGATAAGTTGTGTGTCTTCTAAACTTTCTCGAACAGGAAAATAAGAATATTGGTTCAAGTCATCATCATTGGCAATATCGTCCTTTTTGAAAGTATTTCGTGATTGATCCCCGAAAGGATCAAAACATTTATAATTATCTCCACTTTTCTCTTGTTCAATCAGATAGACAACATAATTACTTTTTAGTAGGACGAACTGATTATATTTCGTTTTGTCAAAAGTCGACGGCTTTGCAAATGTGAATTGACGATAAATACAGTTTTGTCTCAGATGATTATGAATATTTTTAATTTCCTCTTCTGAAAGCATAGGTACTTTTAATCTCTGTTCAAACACATTACCAATAGAAAACATATTGTTCTGTTCAGTGGGAACCCATATGCGATAATTTCTGCAAAAAGAAAAACAATAATTAAAACTATCGAAATTAGAAAGTATTTTATAACTTACTTAAAGTATTTTTTAATAATATCTTTATCTGATTGTTGTTTTATCCATGCAACAAGAGCAATTAAATCAGATTGGCGCACAACATTCCTATTGATTCTCTCTTCGTTCTGTGCATCGATCAACTCCTTGATGCTAAATCGATCATCGGCATTTGATAGAATTTGAACAGATTGGTAGCAATCGAATTTTGTTAAAGAATGCTGTGTACTTTCGAATAAATGATAAAAAATATGAGGCGTGTACAGGAAGACATCACTATCTTCCACCATAGATTGTGGAAGTATTTTCCGAAATAGTCGAAAGAATGCTTCACTAACGAGTTGTTTCTCGAATAGAAAACATTCTCCTTCTAGCAAATGATATAATGCCAGACATGCTGGTGGAAACAGAAATTGACGAAGAAGAAGCAGAAAGTTAGAAATATGATTAAAGTTGATTGCATCGATTTCTGACTCCGATGGACTTAAAAATGCAATCTTCAGAACTCTCAATGAAATAAGGAATATTGACATGGCCATTTTGTTTTGTTTCACACAACCTAAAGGTTGCCAAAAATCGTCAGCCAGAAATATTTCACATTCTCCTGCTTTTTGGTAATTAAGATAGTGTGTTTCAAATTGACGTTGATATTCAAATAGATAAAAATCTGGAACTTTGTTTTGGGACTCGTTATTGCGTTTATGCAGCTTCAAGTAACTTGTAAGTAATTCTTTCGATTTCCAAAGGTGCATACGATGATTGAAGAGAATTGGAAAAGTTTTGATAAACGAGAATTTCTCATCAGTAAGAAGTTTAGAAAATAAATCCTCAAGAGTAGCATTTTCGTTCATATTATATTCAAACTGTTCACCAGCCAATGTTTGAATACAAATACTTATCGAAGCTTGAGATATGCTTTCTTCCAATCGAAGCTCGGTGCCTGACTTGAGACCATATTCATGAATTGTTCTTGATGGTAACAATCGATCGTTGTTATAAAACAGACTGAAGGACTTAGTCGTATCACTGTCAAAATCTTCCTTGAGCATATTAATGAAGTCTTTAATCTTCATATCAGGAGCAGGAGTCGGACATCTATTTGATTGTCCACGATATATTATAATCAAGTAGTTATCTGCCATTTTCTATTTGAAAGACAGAAAGGAAATCGAGTGTAAAAAGTAAATCTGAAAAATCGTTAATATAAATTTATAACGTAAGTAAAAGATCTCTCTACTGGACACCTTTCGAAGCGATGAAAGGCTTTTAAATGGTTTGTAGAGAAAGAGGGATTGGACTCGTTCACGATGATTTACACCATCGATTGAGATTTTCCCCTTGCTATCATCGAATGAAAACTAAGAATGGATGAAAAAGTACTGGAGTGAGTGAAGAACGTGGATATATATATATACAGGTAAATGTGCGAGTTTGAATGATTGAGATAAAGGGACATTTTTCGTCCAAAGTACAATTTGGTAAAAATCGTCATTAATGGAAAAAACCTCGTATTAAAAAATGGAATAAACCATAATAAGATGATTTGTGTTATGTTGATGACGTCTTTCACAAAATCTCACCTGTACGGAGGGATTTTTTCTCATAGAAGTAACAGAATGAGTGAAATGAGTCATGTCAATGGGTGCAGATGTAGATAAACGTAGGAGTCTTGATGATTGGAATAAGGGAAAATATTTGGGCGAACTTGCAATTTGGTAAAAACCGTCGTTGATAAAAAAAACCCACTATGTTCACTATATTCAGATATGCACTACTGTAGACATAAATAAGTTTCTTGGAAGTGAATAGAAGGCAACGAATTTTGAATTCTGTCGAATTAATGGATACGTTATCACATTCATCCTCGCGTGTACACTAGGAAGAGTGGCCCATGTAAAAATTTTTGGTTAATATAGGAAACCTTGTGAAATGAAAATTTGTGAAAAATTTAACGACTTTGCTTTGGATAAGTCAGTAGACTCTTCATGATTTTTCAAAAGAGATTTTATTTCAGAAACGCATGAAAATACATAAAATATACAAGTTGTTGAGTAAATGCCTAATTAGAGTTCAAAAACAAATAGAAAAAAAAACAGTGTACCCATGTTATAACAACAAAAAGATTGCGACAGCAGTGTCCAAGGACTGAGAAATAGGAATTCCTAATTTGCAGAGGAATTGTCAGTGTAGCTATGATAATTCCTTGGGGAAATAGGAATTGACCATTATTTCCATCACAGTTCCCTCATTCATGAAAGTCAAGATAATCCTTTTTTTGCAATAATTTTCGTACTCATACGTTCATGTGCACAAATTTCTTGATGAAAACGAGTGTAAGAGTAATAAGTACCGTGGGTATTGTATTTTTTTAATTTTAGTATTCAAAGAAATGTCAGGGAACTGCGTAGGAATTCCTATTCCTCAGTCCTTGGACGCCCCTCCATATAAGTCGTATGGGGCACCCGTTTTTGCTAAAGCGAAAGAGGCTCATATCTCAGCCTGAGAACATCCGTTTCGGGTCAAAATTTTTTTCAGTATAGTATTTTGCCTGTAGAACATAGTAATATTAAAAAATTTCTGAAAATGTTCATAAATCTAGAATCGCAGAAAAAATATTACTTTTTTAGCCGGTTACAAGGTTTTTAATCTGCAGACTTTGCTCTATCTAACGGTAAAAGAATCAATTTTCTAACACCTTGTCCAAGCTCACAATCGAGCCCGACATTTGTGCCAAGACTTTTGCATCAGTCGTTATATATGTACAGCTACAGTCGCATCCGAATCGTACTGTTTTAGTTGACTTTTAATCAAAGAATAAACCATAGTTGTGTCATTTTATTTGTCAATACTTTATATGAATCGTCTCAGGATTTTCAGTTCAAGCGGGATTATTTGAAACTGAACTGAGTTTAATTCCATCATAAGTAATATACATTGAAGAGTTTCGGTTGACAACTAATCATAAAATATGACTGTAGTTTCAGTCACTAGTGGTTTATTTCGTGCAGAATAAAGTTTTAAACTTCAGTTTTGTTATTAAAGACTGTGATGTGGGTTTAGATGTGGATATGTGGGTCTTTAGATCTCACTTTTGGTGTGGACATGTATTTGTTTTGATGTCCAAAAACAATGTATTATCAACACCCACATTCTACATTCACACCGATACGCACTCACCTACACCCCACATACACATTCCCACACCCGCATCTACATCTCAGACATTACAAACACAGAAAAGAAAATGTTTATAACAAACTTCAAAATACATTAGTGAATATATTTCTCTCATTCATTTTTGCGTTGGTAATACACTTTTCTGTTGATTTTTCTTTTTTCACATAAGTACACTCCTCAAAAAAAAGCCTGACACAATCAAAATGCAATTAACGTAATGGAGAATTTTATTTTTCCGGAGCAAGCTCTGATGTTTGCACAAGGACATCAGGCATGCATCATAATGATGTTTTTTTTTCTTTTCGTTTTTTTTGTATCAAAAAAAAAGCAATGTACATCTTCAAAATCGAATATGGGTGTTAATTTCAGTCAAAATCATATCAAAACCTAGTTTTAGATTGATCTTGTGTAGTTCTTCAATGATATTTCAGATGTATGAGAAAATCAATGGAAGTTTAATTCATTTGTATCGGATTCTTATGTTTTCGAAACACAATCAAAAAAGAACTTTACGATATATCTTGAATAGACATCTTTGTGAAAAAAACCTTTCTTCTTATTAATTTTGTTGTTGTTTGATGAACAAGTAAGATGAGTGTGGAGGGTTTTTAACAATATGAATTCCATTTTAAAAATATTAATGTTTTATCAACTTTCAGCAAAGTTGTCAGATGTTTATGATGATGTGAATATCATTTATGTAACAAAATAACTAGCAATTGCAGCTATAGACGAATCTTGTTCTGATAGAGCTTTACAATTACATCTGCTCATAAATATATAGTCATTTTGACCTCTGTCAAACACCGTTCATATTTGAACACTATCGATTCCTACATATCACAAAGCAGCAAAAATAAGTGTTTGTGATTTCTAAAATTTGAGCTTTTCTTATTTTTAATCAATCGTTTGTGTTCTTTACATGGAATATTTTACGGTTGCTATGTGCAGTCCTTCTCAATGGAGTGTATAGTTGACAATAATTTGAAAAAGACGAACAAAAAAGAAGGCCTAAAATGGCAGAAGCTACACATAGACTCAGTGGCGGGCCGCCATGAGGCAATTGGTGGCAATTGTCCCACCCAAAAAAAATTTTAAATCCAATATTTACACGTTTATTTATTGACTTCTGTAAGCGAATCAAAATATACACAATTAGTAAAAGTATCTGTACATCAGCGACATCTGATAGCGAATCATTAATATTCGTTCCGATAGAATTCAAGTTAACGATCAATAAAATCTCTCATTCGAAAAAATTCGAAACAACTAATTTTGCTTTTGTATGTGTATACGAGTACTTTATTTCTTATTTTCCTCTGTTAAATAACTGGTCAGATCTATGAATTAAACTATTTTATCAAACAAAATATTGTACATAATCATTTATGTACTTGTTAAATGTTACTGACAAAAAAAAGTCAAATAGAATTACAAAAATTCTAACTTCTGATGTACGTTTTTTGTGATATTTCAGATTTAAAAGTACTAGATTCTTAAATGTCACAAATAAATAACGTGTTGACAAAATATTTCAAAAGAATCAAGAGAAATGTTAATAATGAATCAATAATACAGCCTGCTATATCAACAGATGAACAAGAAAAAGAAGAAATTGAAATTGAATCACCTTCGTTTAAACGCTTAAAGTTATCTGAAGATAAAGGTTCATCAACATCAGTATCACCAACATGTTCAAGAGCATTAGAGTCTTTAACAATATCTGCATCTTCACAACCATCATCACCACATTCAATATTATCTAAAACTTCGTCACAAATAACATCAACACAGTCGTCAAAATCAGGACATAAATCATCACCTACTTGTGCAAGAGCTTTAGCACTTTTAACCATATCAGCACGTTCACTAACACCAACAACAACTTTATCATCATCAATAAGATCATCAACATCAACATCAAGTCCACAAACAACGACACCTTTAGCATCACCAATAAATTCACCACCATCGTCAACGTCAAATCGTTCACCACCAACAACAGCTTTAACATCACCAATGAATTCACCATCATCCACGTCAACTTGTTCAACACCAGCAACAGCTTTAACATCATCGATAAATTCACCACCATCAGCATCATTATTGCCACCTAATGAACGAGATCCTTGTCTTAGTCCAGCAGAAGCCAAACAATTCGTTTTTCTTAGACCATATCAACCTGATTTTAAATTTCCTACAGTTCAAAATCGCCATTTTTGTCGACAGTGGTATTCCATTTATTCCTGGTTAGAATATAGTCCAACCATTGATCGTGCTTTTTGTTATGTGTGTCGTTTATTATATGGTAGTGGAAAAATTGATAGTTGGTTTACTGTAACTGGTTTTAATTCATGGAAAAATGCAATTGCTAAATTGAACAATCATCAATCTTCAGTTACGCACAAGCAAGCATTACAAACATGGACAGATTTGAAAAAAAACTATAATAATAATAGCGATTTGTTGAAATTAATAGACAAGCAACACACGAAACAAGCTGCAGAAAATCGAGCATATCTGGTTGAAATAGTAAAAACAATTGTTTTTTTGGGTAAACAGGGTATAGCATGTAAGTTATTCAAGTATTATCTTTTTTTTCTATATTATTTGTATATTATACGAATTTTTGATCATGTTTTTTGTGTATATTTCAGTTAGAGGTCATCGAGAACATGATCAATCTTCTAATAGAGGAAATTTTCTCGAACTTCTTGAATTGAGAAGTTTAGATAATGATTTAATTTAAAAAAATCTACATACATTAAAACTTACTGATCATAAAATTCAGAACGAAATAATTGAATTACTTCAACAACAAATTTTAACTGGAATTTTAAATGAATGTCATCGTGCAAAATATTTTTCCGTAATAATTGATGAAACAAAAGATATTGCTTGTCATGAACAAGTTTCATTAGTTATACGATTTGTCGATGAGAAGTTCAATGTTTTCGAAAAATTTATTGGATTTGAACGTACAGCTACAATGACTGGAGAAGCATTAACTGATTTATTAATAAAATGGTTAAAAAAATCAAATTTGAACTTACAAAATTTAGTGGGCCAATGCTACGATGGTGCTAGCAATATGCGAGGTGAATATCAAGGTGTAGCAGCTCGTTTATCGCAGATTGCTCCATTGGGTAAAGCATGAAAACCGAAGACCTATTGTTTATTTGTCTAATGTGAATTAATCATATACTCGATTTCCATTTATTTCAGGTATTTATATCCACTGTAATGGTCATGTGTTGAATTTATGTTTAATTGATGTATCAGCTCGTGTGCCATCAGTACGAGATACTTTTGGTGTTGTTTCATCTTTATACAAGTTAGTTGAAGGTTCAGTTAAATGTCATCAAGTCTTCGAACGTGTTCAACAAGAAGCTGGTTTAAAAAAATTGACTATTAAAGAAGTATGTGAAACACGTTGGACATATCGATTAGAATGTTTGAAAGTTATTTTACTTCGTTTTAATGAGATTATAACAACATTAGAAGTTATCGAAGTACCTGATGCATTTCTTCTTTTAAATTCATTACTATCATTTGATTTTATATTTCATTTATTTATTATGATGGAGATTTATTTTTTGACAAATATTCTTTCGAAGTTTTTACAACATTCAAATGTTTCATTAACAGATGTACTTGCTCAAGTAAAAATAACAATTGATACTCTAAAAAGTTTACAAAATGAAACTGAAGTTGAACGTATATACAATGAAGTATTGAAATTATGCAATGATAATGGTATTGAACCACCAGAAAAACCTCGAACTAAACGTATACCTGTTCGTTTTGGTGGTAGTGATGATGGAACAGCAGGATTAAATGTTAAAGATTATTATCGAATTAAAATTTATTATGTTATTTTAGATAACATTATTACTTCAATAAATCACAAATTTGATGAAAATATTCTTGGAGTTGTTGTATTGATGGAAAAACTCTTTTTATATAAAGAATGTCTTAATGAAGATGAACTTCATGAGTTAACACAATTTTATTCTATTAATTATGATGATTTGAAAGCCGAACAACGACTTTACAAGAATCAATTGAACGATAAGAAAATGAATTTGTCTGAAGTAACTGAACTCTTTTTGGAAAATAATTTTCATATGGCATTATCGCCCATGAATGAATTATTGAAGATTCTTTGGACTATTCCGGTTAATTCATGCCAATGTGAACGTAGTTTTTCATGTTTAAAAAGATTAAAAACGTATTTAAGAAACAGTATGGGAGAAGAAAGATTATCAGGCATTGCTCTTTTAAATATCGAAAGAAACTTTGAAATTAATTTAGATCAAATAGTAACAGATTTTATTGTGAAAAAAGATATAAAGAAAACAATTTTTTTAAATAAAGTTCTTTTTTAACTAATATATTTTTGTTTATTCATTTGACTTCAACAGAAAAAACTAATATAGAGATTACATTTAAAAGATTAGTTTTATTTGCAGCTTGAATGAATGCAGTTATCATAGAGTATTTTCATAAAGCTGAAAATAGATTTTTTATTATGCTAAGGAATTAAAGTTTATTGCCCCACCTATATTTGGGATGCTGGCCCGCCACTGCATAGACTGTTGCTGTGATTCAAAAATAACATACGAATCATTCGAAAAAAAGCAAATCTGCCTGACGTGCAAAACAATCATAATTAAAAACTACTAGTTATAGTTGGTTTCGGTAACTGCATTTCAGTGAGTCACTTATTGAGGAGATTTCCAAGACAAGAAACAGTATTTTTAAAGTTACTAATAGAGTTAGCGTACGATTGGAACACTGATTACAGAGGGCTTTAACACGCGAAATTGATAGTACGGAGTACAAAAAAAGAGCCGACTCCTTAAGATTAAAATCTAATTAAATATTTCTTTATATTTACAAAAAACTTAAATCATATATGAACAGTAACAGTAGCGCATGTACAATGTATTCAAAACGATTTTAAAGAATCTTGGAATTGAAAATGTTAAAGTAAACAATAGTTGTTAATTTTTTTACCTATATTGAATCATTTCTTTATCCTGCATATGAAAATCTAATTTTAAGAGAGGCTCCATCAGACTACGAACCAAGCATGCATACAAGAAATTTTGATTTTGAAATAATTTATACCATTCGGAAGCTCGTGAACAGTTATGCTAATACCCAAATTTTTAGCTTCTTCTAAAAATCTTATCAGGAGATATGAAGAAATCTTTGAATGTACCTCAGGTACAAATTCTTTAATTTTCGAAAATTTTGGATGAATTTTAGGGAATCTCATATAACACTTTATGATAACACATATTACCAACAAAGATCCCTCTTTTTCAATATTAATTAACGTATCTTGATTAGAGAAATAGAATATTGCACCTTCACTGATCAACTAAATAGACCAATGAGATTTCAGTGGGGCTTTTCTTCCTTATTGTAAGGACAAGTACCAGTCATGTTTGAGCCGATTCTAAGGTTATCAAGGATGCTCTATCGAATGGTGGGTATATGTGTGGGCCTCCGGCTTCGGGTTGAGCAACGAACAGAATTCAATGATTCAATCGGTCAAAGGAAGTTGAGGGATGAAATTGTAGGAGTCGTGTTCTTCCTCATTTCGAAACCATGTTTATGTTACGTTTTAGTCGTTTCTGAAGTCTCGGAGATGCTCTTCTAAAGGACCTACACATCGAAGTGCTCGAGTTTTCTTATAGCTGTGAAGGGCTATCTGGCCATCTGATCAGTGAGTTGAGATGGATCGATAATCTGATACAACATTCTCACTTAGTTAATGGTCGAAATGAATGACTGTTTCGCTAGCTTGTATTGGGATATGTATATTATCAGTTAAATCGTTGTTGACAATCGGTGGATTCGCTATTCGGTAACACCTAGAGTGTACAGTACATTACAATGGTTTATAGTATGCTTGTTTACAGTCCTCGTGTCGCTACCATGGTCGTCAACGACCATTGTTCATAGTCATTGTTTGTGATCGTTGTAATGCGACATAACCTATCATTAACTATTGGCAGAAGGAAGTGCCGTAAACTGCTCATGAATACGTCGTCTTACATTGGCTCACAAGGAGCGTAATGGATGCTGTTTCGTTACATTAGCTGTTTACGACCGACTTTTACTGGTGTCATGTACACTGACTGTAATATTCTGGGAGGCATCGTTTACAATTGTTCTAAAGGTCTGGCGGAAGCGGTCACTCTTGTCCGCTATAATTAGTTGGCATATGGCCGTGTACAGCCGAGCATAATTGGCCTTGGCATGGACCATTTACTTAATGTTGGCCCTCGATGATACAGGTGACTCATCTATTGCTGGTCCGCATACATATTAGTCATCTACGGCATGGTGAGCCTCATAAATTTAGATTACCTAATTGATGATTCTCCTTATAGATATCTATTAACTACTCGATGTTGGTGCTTAATATTATAAATGATAGTACGCATGTGAAAATATCGGGGCAAGAATAAATGCGTATGTTTTGGAAATTCTAGTCTAGAAAGCGTTGGTTGGGTAACAGTAAAAATTGTGGATGTGGGTAGATGATTCGTGCGGATAAAGCAAAGAATCAAAACCACACTCACACCCACATCGAAAATGTGCTTTTCTTATTTCAGTGAGCTCTAAACACGATCAATTTATCTCGCGACACTCAGTTAACTAGTATCTGAAGTCGATAAATATAGCTGACATTATCTGTAAGATCATCTGATTGTGCCATATACTGATCTTTTTCTTTGGCTTATGCATTATGTATTTGTACAGGCACTTCTTCAATATTCCCTTCTGTTAGAGGATAATCCTGGTAGAATATTCTTTTCTTTTTTTCGTTTCTCTTTTCTTCTCGTTATCTATTTCTTTGATATGATATATTTCAGGTTATTTTCTTTATTCTATTTTGTCCTTATGTTTTTGAACCCTGGACAGTAGATATATATATATATATGTCTTTCATTTTTTTCCTTTTCTCGTTCTTTGATGTTATATAACCTTGATCACTCTTTATTGTTTTGTCCTTACGTGTAACCCTTGATCTCGCTAACATCTATATATATATATATATATATGTTTTTTTCAGTGCAGATATACAGTGTGTGTTGTGCAGAGTTCAGATAAACATATATGTACGTGTGTATGAGGACATTTTTGATTTTGAAAATAAATAAAGGAAAAGGTCGAACATCAGACCTCTAATACCTTCTTATGCCTTCAATGTTCGCTAATAAGCTCTTTTGTGTTGATGAGTGTTCTCTAGTAAAGTATTATAGCGAACAGCGGAACATTCTTAGCCAAACAAATACATAAGAAATTTTCGATGGTATTCGTTATGGCATATGCTTTCAATCGAGGCAGAGCGACCCTGTCATCGCTTACTAGCATTTGAACAGTGTGTTTGCGAGAATTGACAAAGCTTCAGGTATTTTGCGAGACTATCATTGATGTCGTGCAATGAAGTGGAGCGTTTAGTTAACCAACGAAACCATGATCGGCTTTCTAGAATATCAAAACATTTCGTATTTGTTATGCGAAGCATCTGACAATTTTGCAAGCCTTACATAATGGTTTCATATACATTGTACGAAATCTATAATCGTTCCATATATACAATACGAAACCACCGTTAGTGTCGTAAGGGATAAAATGGCTTCGTATAACTTGTACGGAACTGCTGGTGGTGTCGCAAGCTGTATTATGGTTCCGTATACATTATACGATACTACTCATAGTTCCGTAGCATATCTAAAGGTTCCGAATATGAAACGCGAAACTATCCTTGGTTCCGCAAGCAGTAAAATGGTTCGGTATATATTGTGCAGAACTATTGACGGTTTCGCAATCTTTATTATGGTTCTGTATACAATATACGAAACCATTCATGATATCGTAGGACATCTAAAGGTACTGTGCCTAGAACACGGAACCACCCTTAGTTCTGCAAGTAGCAAAATGGTTCTGTATACATTGTACGAAACCATTGATAATTCCGTAGAACATCGAAAGGTTCCGTACGTACAACACGAAATTATCCTTAGTTCCATAAGTAGCTAAATAGTTCCACACAATTTGTACGGAACTATTGATGGTTCCGCAACCTTCATTATGGTTCTGTATACAATATACGAAGCCATTGATGGTTTCGTAAAGCATCTGCGGGTTCCGTATACGTAACACGAAACCATCAATAGCTTCGTGAATGATGCAATGGTTCGGCATATCTTTTACGGAACCATGCATAGTTTCGTAAATGTTGCAAAGGTTCCGGAGACATTTTACGAAATCAATGATATTTTTGAAACTTCTATAATAGTTTCGTATGTCTTATACGAAACCATTAAGAGTTTCGTCATTTATCTAAAGGGTCTGTATATATGTCACGAAACCATTGGGTGTGGGGTGTGGTTGTGGGCGGGTGTGGGTGGGTTTGTGTGGGGTGTGGGTGGGTGTGAGTGAGTGGTGGGTGTAAGTGGGTGTAGATCTTCTCTTCGCTCACCCACACCCACACCCACACCCAACACCCCACACCCACACACCCACACCCACACCCAACACCCCACACCCACACACCCACACCCACACCCACCACCCCACACCCACACACCCACACCCACACCCACACCCACACCCACACCCACACCCACACTCCACACCCTATTGCACAGATCTAGCACAAAAATTTATGCATTTTAATCTAATCGATGAATTCCATCACTAGTTTTAGATAGACAGCTGAAACTTTCAAAAACTAAAGATCTTTATTAGATATATATGTGGTACAAATTTTCAGCCTTATTCGTCAATAAAATGTATAAAAAATATCATTAACAATTCATCGTCAGTTATTATGGCACACCCTTTATATATCAAAGAATCATGTAAGCGATTGAAAGTATCTCATGACAGATGCTGCAAATTGTATCCTCTATAGTTTACAAATAAACATTAATATTAAGTCCTTGATCTGTAACAAAAATTTACTATGGTTGACTATGATCATATCTATATCATTCACATATGGGTCAAACGTGAAATTTGAATTCAAATATTCAAGTATTCTTTTATTATCTCTCTGGATGAGGGTGCGTCGACATGTGTACACAAAGGGCATCTCTCTACTGAGGAATAACTGATTCCAGCTTTCACGTTTGATACTATTATTAAATCTTTAGTTGAATATTTCCTACATGAACAAATATTGATATTAAAAGTTTATTACACTTCAAATCTCATAAATTCCTTTTCTTTTTCTTATTCACAATGATCAAAAGTTATCGTTTTACATCTGATGAGGATTTTAGGATATTCTATTGAGAACTACATTTTTGTAAATAAATTTCAAAAAAAATAAGGATGACATTAAAAGTAAGAGATCGTA